TCGACCATCTAGAAGTTTTCAGAGGCAATAAATCACAAGGGAGAATACTCATCTTTCTCCCAGGGAGCAGCTAGTGGACTAGAATTGTGTGTCTTTGAGACTGTAGTGTAACTTCTTACCAGTAGGCCTATTAATCACATGAGAAGAGACTGCCCATCTTTCTTCTGCAAGAGCATCTGCAGGATTGGAACTGTGTGCCTCTGGGATTGCAGTGCTGCTTTTTACCACTGGGACACCAGAGCTCCCTATAAATCACATGGGAGGAGACTGCCAATTTTTTTGTCTACAGAGCAAATGGTGGATTCAAACCATTTGCCTTTAGGTTGGCAGTACAGCTCATTAACCACTAGGCCACAAGTGGTATTGTGTCAAAGTTAATATCACATTTATTTCACAGTAGTTTATGATTTTATATTCCATTTCTAAAAATCCTCATCAAAAGACTCCTTTGAACCACGGGGAGTTTCCACAGAGATAGCAGACATAGCCAGTAGTTGCAAAAGCAAATTGTTAGAATAGAGGGCTGAGTATTAATGCATTTCATTAGTCTAAAAGTTCTTAATCAATTTTATAATTTACCAAGAAGATAATAAGCTTCAAATTCTTGGAAAATAATACTTTTTAACAACAGAGGAAAAGACAAATAGAATGAACATACATCCTGCAAGTATAAACGGTCATTTATATTGTCTATAAAAACAACCACGATCTCCTTTTCCACCACTGTTGCACTGCTCTTTGCATGTGCACACACTGCTCCAACAACTCAAATTGCCCAGAGTCCTTTTCTGCCTATCTTACTTCGGTTCAGCCCTCAGAATGCCATCAGACTGGACAAAAAATGGTGAAGAATGGAAAAGGAAATGGAGTGAAAAGCAGGGCTCCTACCCCAATCATCTGGTTTGCTGCCCTGTACTACTCAAACCATGCTTACTCTATGAGTAATCTTGTTATCCTATAACCTCAATTTCCAACTGTAACACTTCAATCCCTGTTTCTAAATATGGGAGTCACTGAAGATTAGAACTGGATAAGGCCCAATACCCACACATTAAGTGTAACGTATTAGGCAGCAATGTATTTTTTTAAGAATTGGCTTAGAAACATGAATAGCATTTAAAAATATTATTTTCTTTAAGGAGTATCTGTACTAAGTTCTCATATTAATAGGAATCATTTTAAGAATCAGAAACTTAGGATGAGAAAGGTTCAAATCACTAAATCAGAAAGCCACAGAGCTAAAATCCAAAGAGGTTTATGTTATGACGCCTCAAAGACTGCGTAATTTCTATTAGAATATGTGACCACCTACATCATGAAATCAATTAAGTTTCTGAGAAGCGGAAAAGTTTTTGCTTCTTTAAATAAAATATCTTTTAAATTTCACTATCACCCATTCAAACATGTACTAGGAAATCTTTTACACAAAACTCCCACAAATACTGACTGTGTGGAGTATAACAAATTATGAATAATAAGAAAACGTGTAGGAATTCCAGAATACTTAATTGTGCCCATACAAAACATATCACATACAAAGTAGAAGTTGTACAAACAGAACAAGGGGACATTGCATGGTTAAAAGTCAGGAAAAATATATCAGTGTTACATTCTTTCTCCATACCTGTTTCAATCTGTATTCTGGGTAAACCATTCAAAAAGCTGGCCTTTATGAAAAAGAATGTGATATCAGGATTAAGGAAAGATTCATGACCAACCTGAATTTATGCAGATGATGCTTAAAGAAAGTGATGAAGATTTGAAATATTATTGAAGAAATGCAAAGCCTTCAATATGGATTACATCTCAGCATCAAGAAAACAATCTTCATCACTAGGCCAATAGGCAACAGCATGACAGACGGAGAAAAATGTGAACTTTCAGTATTTCATTCTACTTGGACTCAAAGTCAACACCCATGTGGTAGCAGTCAAGTTATGTGTTGCATGGGAAAATCTGCTGTCAAAGATCTCTCCAAAGTTCTAAAAACCAAGAATGTCAGTTGAATGACTACAGTGTACCTGAGCAACACCAAGGTTTCAACTGCTTCCTACGCTTCTGATTTTTAGACAATGACTAAGAAAAGCCAAAGAGAACTGAGGACTTTAAATCAGTGTGTTGAAGAAGATTACTGAATATGAAGATCATGGAATACGAAAAGAATAAACACATCTGTCTTTAAGCAAGTGTGCTTGGGTGCTCTTGAGAAGCAAGGATGGTGAAACTTTGTCTCACACACTTTGGGCATATTAGTAAGAGGGGCCAGTCTTTGGGAGAAAGATTTCATGCTGGGAAAGACAGAGGGTGAGTGAAAGAGAGGAAAATCCTCAGTGAGAAGGACTTGACACATTAGCAGTAACTGAACATGGGAGAGATCATAAGGATGGTACAAGACAGGGAAAGATTCAGGTCTGTTATTCACTGGATGGTTATGGCTTATAGCCCACTCAACAGCACTTACCAATAACAACTTTCTTAAACCTTGACATCAGTACAATAATAGATTATCTCCATATGGAAAAAAGTCTGATTCCATTTTTACTATCATGAAAACAAGGTAGAGCAAATTTTGCAAGAAAATTCTTATGAAATTACTTGTATTATTTCTTTTAAAAAATGTCAAAGGCAATTTTTTCCCTCTGGTTTGGATGAAAACACAAAGTGATGGATAGCAAACAGGAAGTTTTTGCCTTTCTCAAAGGAGATCAATCTAAGTTGAGCCATGGGCACAATATCTTTAAGATAATTAAATATCCAATTTTTTCAAGTAAAGTTTTAAAAAGAAATATAAATGAATGGAGTAAATATGCCCTCAAGTACACATATCTGCAATGATGCTAAAGTGAAAGAATAAAATATTCTTACAAAACTGGGCATTTCAAGTGCTATGTATAAGAGTATATTTTCTCATTCCAACATATACTGTAATATAAGCAGACATATTACACTGTTTATAATTTGATTGTGAATAGTTTTATTTTACCATTTACCAAACTTATTTTGTTGAGTTATTCAAACTAACTTCTGCCAAGAACACTAGAATTTTGGTGATAGTGCTTCTTTGGGGAGCAAAACCACCTCTTTCCTCAGAAAATTAAAACTGTTTATCTTGGCACATAAACCTTGGTATTGAGCCTTCTGGAAAGTATTTTAAAGCTGTTGTTTTTAACCTAGACTTTGTGACTGAAACAGGAAAACGTTCTGTAGCTCTGTACCAAAATACATATTTACAGAGCTTATTTTATTTCTACACCAAAAATACTAGGTTGATCGCAAGTGTTTCAAAATAAGATTTCCTAGAACCATACTACAAATTGGATATTATCAGTATATTCAACATGGCAATTACATTTTTAACTTCAAATATTCTGACTACTAAGAAATGCTAAATGTTGATCAGATACACTCTATGCACCACACTCAGGAAAGAAAACGTTTCCTTAAACGATCTGTTTTGTTGGGAATTTTTACAAAAAGAAACTTTACTAGGTACTTTACTTTCTTCTGTTTATGTCCAATGAAAGATATATTTCTAGCTTTATGTTTTAAAGATTATTTTTCTCTACTTAGTATGTTTTATCTTCAGATTGTATAGAATACAAAGAGAATGTGAACTTTTTTTTTTTATTTTATTATTTTTGTGTGCGTGTACCGTCAAATCAGATCTGACTGGTACAGGAGGAGATGAATGTGAACTTTTTTGTAAAAAAAGACCTTGTATAACCCAGTAAAACAAAACCCAAAAAACCCCAAAACCGAAACAAATCTGACTGGTACAGGAGGAGATGAATGTGAACTTTTTTGTAAAAAAAAAAAAAAAAGACCTTGTTCCGATAATGTACCTGAATACAACTATGAAAGACTGGAAATTCATGAAATAAAATAGTCATTGAGCCTAACTCTTTCATCTCCTTCAAAGTTATTTAAATAAAAGGGGGGGGAACCCACAGAAATATTATGCTTAAATCAGAAGATACAATAAGAATGATAGATTAATCAAACCATTTTAAAGACTACCTAATAGCTTCAGTAATTTTTCATTCACTAATGAATGGCAGAAAATATTACATATCTCAATATCAATTATCTCTGTATCACATGTCAGACTTTGAATATTTAAACCTATATTTTTTTCCCTTTCAAACAATCTATTCTTTTAAAATAGCATAATTTTGTATTCTGTGTAAGATTTTGATAAAATCAAAATAAGTTAAGACTACAGTTGCTGTTAGGAGCCACTATGATGGCAACAGCTCATATACGACAACAGCTCTGACTCTGCCCTATACTGTGACTGCCTCACCATCTTCAACACATTGGAGCCCTTGGTGAATCTCACCAGGTTTTATCAAAGACCTGCTAGGATGTTTGGTCAAGAAATTAGGGATTTTAAAATGCTCAGATAGTTGCATTGGCTTATTTAGGAAAAAAACAATATGTATACATATAAATTCATAGCGACCCTATGAATTTATGAATTTAGGGTCGCTATGGATTTATATGTATACATATTGTTTTATTCCCTAAATAAGACAATGCATGAGTCGCAGGCGACTCGACGGCACATAACAACAACAACACATACATATAAATATATATTATTAAAAAATATAAAAATTGTTCTATCACTTAAGATGAAATTTTCATTTAAAAAACCGTATACTTTAATGACTGAATTTAGCATATATCATAAACCCTGAGATACAGCTATCAAAATAAATGCAGTAAGAATAACCAAAATGAAATTTACTAAGAAATGAGGTGTTTCTACCTGAAAGTCTTATTTCCACACTGCTGTGACTATATGCTAAAGGAAAGAAACATCCTTTCCCTATCTCACTTTTTTCTCTTCTGATTTTTAAAGTGGTGATTTCTCTGACCAAGCGAGAAAACAAAATTCATTCCACTTATGGGGAACAATTATTTGAGGAATTTTAACTAACCAGGTTGATGGGTACACTACTTTTGTTATTAAAATATATAGGCGAAATAGAACATACCTGAAAAAGAACATGTACATGGCAGCTGTGATGCAGAACAAAAGGACCTAAAACAAGGAGAAAAAGACATTACTTGCTAAAAAATACATTGTATAATTTGTATGAATTATAAAAGCCAAATAAGTCTTATTTCTGAAGCAATAAAACAATGTTCAAAATGAGCTATATACAAATCACCCTATCTACTTTAAAGAAAAAGAAATTCATGAAAGGGCAATAATGAATATATAACAATTATATATAAGGGCTCTGGTGGCCTAATGGTAAGAACCTGCACTGCAATTCCAAAGGAATGCAGTTGGAATTTGCCAACCGCTCCGTGGAAAAGGATAGACAATGGTCTCCTGTGCAATTAACCACCTCTAAAAACCCGCTAGTGGGTGATCTAGGGGTTAGTTCCAACTCAGTAGTACTCAACACAACAATAATTATTTAAAATTATATATCAGAATCAATTAGACAACAGTGGATTTGAAAGTTTGAAAATATATTTATTTCAATAAGAATGTTTACACCTATTCCTAAATTATCAACCTTTTCAATATGTGACATTTCTCAGTACAATGACAATAAAATATCTTATCCAATATCTTCGCTGAAAAGAGAGTACCAGAGGAATGACTGTGTTTTATTGACTATGCAAAGGCATTTGCCTGTCTAGATCACAACAAACTGGCTATCTCTGAGAAAAACGGAAATCACAGAACACTTGATTGTGCTTATGCAAAAGCTATACTTGGAAGAGGAAGCAGTCATCAGAAAATAGCAAGGAGAAACTGCACGGTTCAAAATTGGGAAAGGTGTACATCAGGGATGTGTTCTAACTCTGTATCTTTTCAATCTATATCCAGATATCTGGGACGCTGGGCTCTATGAGGAGAAATGTGACATCATGATTGGAGGAAGACTCATCAACAATCTGTATCACATAGATGACACAACCCTTTTTGCTTCAACTCATAGTGACTCTCCTTAGAGTTTCTAAACATGTAACTCTTTTTATTGATTTAACTTTCATTTCAGTTCTCTCTCCCTCCCATTCCATCTCTGTTATCCCATGAAGATTGAGTTTACCTATGTGTGAACTTTTCCTTAATTGGCCTTATATAAGAATTGTCTGTCACTGACATACATTGCCAAACATAATTTTTATAGATTTATCCATGTTGTATAGTGTTTCACAAACTCTTTGTTGTTTTATTAATACATAATATCCCATTATGTGAACAGACCAGAGTTTCTTTCACCATTTGTCCATCAGTGAACATTTGGTTGTTTACAACTCTTCACTACTGTAAATAAGTCGTGCCACAAGCATGCATGTGTATTAGGCTATAAATCTTTATGAAAGGATACTGCCAATCTTTCCCCTTCAGAGTGCCTAGTGGCCTGAAATGCAGAACTTTAGGTTAACAGTCCAACATATCTGAAAGTGAGAGAGGGAGGCAGGGAGGAAAGGAATGAAAGTGGGTGGAAGGGAGAGAGATATTTATGAGACATTCATGATTCTGTTCTACATCTCATTTGCTTACAAACACCCAACCCAGATCTGACAACTGGTCTCTCCACTTGTAGTAAGAGAGGAAGAAGTGGCATAAAACCAGAAGAACTATAAGGTGCCAGGTATCATTACAGATCATTAGAATCAAAGACTTTACAGAAATGCCTGATGAAGTGGGAGATGATGATGATAGAACTTCACATTCTTACAGACCCTAGATGTTATGGAGCCATGTAAGTGTGTTGCAACTATTGCCTTTAAACCCAAAACCAAAACTATCCAATGAAGGCTTCCTCAAAACTAAACACAGTTCTAGCTTGAGCATTCTGCTTTCGTAAGAACTATCTAAAGGGGATGCAAATGACAATAGTAACTCAAAAGATTAGGCAGAAGCCTTCAAGCATGTGGGTCGTTAATGAGGGAGTCACAACTCAGAGAAAGAGGAGCAATCTTCTTTCATGAAATTTACAGCCTCCAAAAACCTTCTGGAAAGGTCAGCTATTTTGCAGTGTATATTGCTAATAACAAAACTTTTTTTTAAAAAAAAAAGGATGAGGAGTTGAGCAGGGAATTCTTTCTTTAAACATGTAAATATTTGGAGGGGTAAAAAGTAATAAATGTCACAGCAAGCATTAATAAACCACAAAAACTGTAAATCAAGTAGGAGAAAACACTCACCAAAATTACATGTTGGACAACATTGTTATTGTTGTTGTTACTACGTACTGTCGAGTCGCCTGCAACTCATAGTGACCCTATGTACAGCAGCCCTAAACCTTGCTCTATCCTGTGCCAGTCTGTCTCCGACACACCTACCCCCATTACCCCAGTCACTGAATGAATCCACCTCATTGAAGTTCTTCCTCTCATGCACTGTCCCCTCCCCCAAGCATGATGTCTTTCTCCAAGGACTGGTCCCTCCTCTTATTATTTCCAAACTATATTAGACGAAGCTTCAGAATCTTTGCCTCCAAGGAGCACCCTGATTTAACTCTCTCTAGGATGAATCTGTTTGTTTTCTTAGCAGTCCATAGTATATTCAACACTCTTCTCCAACATCACAGCTCAAAGGCACCAATTCTCCTTCTATCTTCCCTAGTCATTTTCCAACTCTCTGATGCATAGCAAGTGATTGCAAAGACCATGGGCTGTGTGAGGCGCATTTTAGTCTCTAGAATGACACTCTGCTCTTCAGTACTTTGGAACAGTCCCTAACAGCAGACTTTCCCATCACAATACAAGTTTTAATTTGCTGGCTGCTGGTGCCAAGAGTATTGACTGTGGAGCCAAGCAAACTGAAGCTGTGACCAATCTCAATCTCTTCACCATCCATCCTGATGCTGCCTATTGGTCCAGTGGTGAGAATCTTTGTTTTCTTGATGTTGAGCTTCAATCCGTATTGAAGGTTGCAGTCCTTGACCTTTTGCAGCAAGTGCTTCAGGTCCTCCTCAGTTTCAGCAAGCAGGGTTGTGTCATCTGCATAACACAGATTGTTGATGAATCTTCCTCCAATCTTGATGCCAAACTTCTCCTCATACTGCCCCACCTCCAGGATAATCTGTTCTGCATATGGGTTGAAAAGGTATGGAGACAGGACACATCCCTGGCGTACACCCTTTCCAATTTTGAACCATGCAGTGTTGCCCTGCTCTGTTCTGACGACTGCCTCTTGGTCCAAGTATAGGTTTCACATTAGCACAATTAAATGTTCTGGGATTCCCATCCTTCTCAGAGTCAGCCACAGTTTGTTATGATCCACACAGTCAAACGCCTTTGCATAATCAATAAAACACAGATAGACATTCCTATGGTACTCTCTGCTTTCAGCCAAGATCCATCTAACATTAGCTACAATATCCCTAGTACCACAACTGAGAAAATAAGAACTGAGGAGCAAACAGATTTGTACACCAACACTCACAGCAGCATTATTCGCCATCACAAGAACATGGAAACAGTCCAAATCCCCAACTACAACAGAATGAACTGACAAATTACAGTGCATCCACACAATGAAATATTACACAGGAGCAAGGATTTTGTAAGTTACTACCTAACTTGGGCAGGACTGGTAAGCTTTATGCTAAGTAAACTAACTCAGTCCCATAATAACTAATACTATTTAAGACCATTATTGTATAATACTTATGAGGATCCAAGAGGGATAGGAGCAGAGGTGTGAATATGGGGGGGTTGGGGGAGTTAATAAAAGGGTCACAAAATTTGATGGGTGGAGGGAGAGATGGGTAAAGAAAATGGGGAACATCCACTGTGAAAAACAATGTATATGAACTCTGTAAGCAAACCAGTATAAAGTAAAAAATTTATTTTAAATTAAAAAATATAAAAATTTGTTAAAACTATTCCACAAAAGTAATGTAGATAAAAAACAAAACAAAAAAATTAAATAAAATAACCAAAATAAAATTAAAAGAAAGTTTCTTTCTATTTCAGACCTTCTATCTGTATTTCCTGTATGTGTCAAGATGTGTATCTTTGTGTGTGTACTTTTCATATGTCCCATTTTATTTTACATAATCCTTGGAAATAGACATCATACTAATAGAGGGTCAGATAAAAAAAAGGAAGAATATCAATGAGAGGAACTGATATGGTGACTGTTAACAGTGAGCTTGAGTGCATCAGTGATGGTAAGGATGGCAGAAGACAGGTCAAGGTTCAGATGTGTTGTTGAAAGGGTTACTCTCAGCTGTAGTTGACTAAATGGTGCTCAACAACACAACAATAATGACATGTACCTACAAACAAACCCATGAAGAGAAATGCTGAAATTGTATTGTTTCCTATCAGAAATTACTCCATTTTCCAAGTCTTTTTCCAAGTCTATTGATGCTATCAACATGATCAATATCAGAGTGTACTTTGTGACATGTGCATTCATATATCCAAAATGAACTGTTAGATGAGGGCTCACTGCATAAAGCAACATGTGCATTTTTAAGTTCGATAAACACTGTCAAACAATTCCCATTAAGCCGTACCAATATACTCTCCCCCCACCATTGTATGACATAGATATTTCCTTATCCTAGCTGTTTCTTTAAAAACCACAAAATTTCTGTATTATCAAAAAGCTGATAACACACATTTCTAGTACATGATGTAAAAAAAAAGAGAATCTCACATTGTAATTGCATTCCTTTTATGAATGATACTGAACGTTTTATATAATCCACATCCCCTTTTCCCCCCTACTGATGCTATTTAATTTCCTACTGAATTTTTGTATCTTTGTCTATTGTAGTTGAGTTGTTATTCTTTTAAAAAAATCTTCATTTATTGAAAATGAATATGCCTCTATGAACACACAGAATATATTAGCTATGTGTTCCATAAGTACAGATGGTTAAATAAAATCATATAAAGTAAATCTTGTAAAGTACTAAGCCAAGAGCAATTTAAGCCAACACCATTTAGAAAGTATAACAAACAATGAGAACCTAAAGTTCATTCAGCTGTAAAATACTGTTCTTTCTGGAATGACTTTGCCGGATGTGACAATTTATAATGCCCTGCTTCCTGCTA